CCAGTACTTTCTGTAAATGTGTATATCTTTTTTAATAACAGCCTTGTAAAATCATTTTAGTTCTTCAATATCAGGAGCAATGGCAAGAAATGGTTAATTAAAAAAAAGCAAGAGAGAGTAAAATTCCTATTTATGACACTCAGGAATTTTGAGGGATTTCAGTTCATTTCCATATATTTGATAAAGGATTTCATTCCAATCTTGCATTTTTTCAGCATCATAGAAATCTTTTGCTTTTATCTTTATCAATAAAACTGTTAAGTTTTTCTTGCTATGTGTCTGCCTGAGAATGAGTGACAATGAGTACATTGTATCTTTTCCTAAAATGCTCTCATAGGGGGTCATTCTCCAAGACATTCGTATCATGCTGACTGCAGCCGTGTCCTTGAGAGAATTATGTCATAGTTCTCATGAACGAATAAACAAGGAAAAATATGTGCCTGTTGAAAAGACTTTTCTCCCCCTGGCACAATTAAAAGTCATGTTTTCATCCTTGATAGTGCCCCAAAGCTCATCACAGTGTGGAATTCACATTAACTTCAAAAGGCAAATCTCTGACTGAATAATTTCCGTAGAAACAGAGGAAAAAGGCTGGTAGGGTTTGGCAGGCTCCTCGGGATACTATTAGAAAAATATATGAGACTATCTAGAATAAGCACATTGTTTCCTTGCAAACTTGAGGGGATTCCTTTCTCCTTTATGCCATTATGTCCCACTTTGTCAGTTCAGGCTGGAAGCCACTTGAGCAGCTCATGTAGACCTTGATTCATTTCCCTAATTTGAACAGCTTGTTTTATTTCACTTGCTAACTCTGTCTGCACTTAAAGGGTCAATTTGGGTGCTAGATTGGGTAAACAGATGAAGTCCTGTGTTTTTCCTGTCTCATTATTGCCTTGCTGCTCCTCCCTTCTGACAATAACAATTCTTTTGTCCAATAAACTGAACTCCCCAGAAAACAGCTGTGGTTCCTTAGTGAATTGCCCCTATGGCCCTCAAGGACAGAACTTCTAGATTTTCCCAAAAGCCCTTGGGTTACTGGAATCTTGGTCCTGATAGACCATATGCTATCTGGAGTCATAGCATCTTTAGCTGGAACTCCCTGATATAATACCTTACCTGCATCTCTTCAAGAAGTGTCTTTTGACTCCATCTTTCCAGTAGCATGAGTATTTTATTCATCCTTGCTCCTAGGAACATATCTCTTGTATTCAGAACAATTTCTGGACCTATGTCCTTCTAATACCACTAGAAGAACGGTTGTTCTCAGGCAGTACCCCTACTCCAACTTCCGGACTTAGCATGATTTTATGGCTCTCTCTATAAGTGGTGTCACCCAAACCCCAATTCTGACTCTATACCTTGTCACCTTTTGCTCCAGAGGGACCGGGATGTCCAGTTCTTCCCAACAAACCCTGTGAAACACAAAACTAAGCTTATTAAGGAAATAACTAAATGACCAAGGGTATTGGAAGTTGGTTGTTAAAATGGATAGTTTTGAAGGTCATTTGATCCTAATTAAATCAGTTCTAGAAGCTTACATTTCTTCAGGCTGATACAGCAGCTGTATCCTGCTGATAAGCCCTTGCAAGGGTAAAATTTGTATTTGTGGTCGCTTTTTCACCTTGGCCGACCACATTTAATGACCTTAATTGGAACCTTTTGATACATTTAAGAATTTAGCCTTGCTGTTTTAAGGGCAATTTACATAACATTATGCCTTCCTAAATGAGCTATAATTTTGGTAGTGATCAACATTTTAAATACTTTAAGACAGGGCAGAATTAACAATGTGCATATTGAGTTATGTGATCTGCATTTTACCAGAGGAAAATAAAATTTATTTAAAATCTTCTTTAGAATAGCATTAGCTATACTTTCCGTGGTTCTTTTCATGACTCTTTCTCTTTTTAGTGTACAATTTAAAGACAGGTTTGCTCTATAACAGGTGAAAATATAAATGATAAAATTACAGTGAATTTTAATTACAGTGAATCCATAATTCAAAACTTTAAGGAACATGATTACATTCTATTTGTGTGGTAAATATTATTTGCATGGGAACTCTAAGAAGAGGAGAGTTGGAGAAACTGAGACTTGAGTAGGCTTGCTAGATTTAGCAATAAAAAATACAATGTTTGGGACAAGCATATGCTACAAAATTATTTGTTTATATAAAATTCAAATTTAGCTGCATGTCCTGTATTTAACTGGTAACTCTAGATTTGAGCTCCATTTGAATAAGAGAGAGGGTTTAGCAGATCGGAAAGGAAGTGATTCTGATTTATGAAAACATGATAACCAAGGACACAAAGACCAGTATGTTGTGTTTGAGGGATAGTGCAAAAAATGTGCTGACTAAAGTAGAATGTGTTTTAATTCATACACAGGAATAAAAAGACATCAAATCTGATAATCCTTTATCCATTTTTCTCCTCTGGAAAATAAATTCTCAGTTTATGATACTTATGAAAAAGTGAGAGCATAACATACACACACATATATATACGTATATATACGTATATATATGTGTATAACTAAAAAAAAAAAAAAAAAACCAGAATGCTTTTTTACATAAAACTTTTTTTCAAGTAAACTAGCTTAATCACAGATAGCTTTTTGTTCTGGGAGAACTCTGATGACAAGTTGCCAAGACCCTGGGCAGCCTTATGCAATTGCAAACGAAAATCTAAAATGTTGAATGACGGCCCATTTCTAGGCAATAGCTGAATAATTGACATAGAGACAGAAAACAAAAAGCATCAAGGAATACTAGTTCCCCTTGCCTCATCCCAAGGGTATTAACAGGTATGAACTGTGAGTGGAACACATTCCCAAATACTTACTGGGGGCCCAGATGGGCCTGGTGCACCTGGAAAACCTGGAATTCCTTGAAGACCCTAGAAGAGAAAGTCTACCATAAAGCTCCTCTATCATTGGAAATAAAGCATTTCAGTTAATTAAATATCTTCACTACTGAAAATTAAACCTATTTTGGTTAATTGAAAAACACGGTATAGTCCTTATACAAATCTCCATTTTCAAAGACTGAGGATGGTGAGCTAAAATGCCATGACATGGAATCTGTAACAAACAAATGTATTGTGTTTGGTGACTCATAGAACATTTCTGATCTCATACAGACACACAACAACAATAGCATCATTGAGAATTCAGCTCTGCTAAAGCAGAGAAATACAAATTTCAGATTGGCAGAATGCCATCAAAGAAATATGTGATTACACTGATGCTTCATTCAGCTAGAGAAAAAATGGAATATGTTTTATGATATAATATTTAGTTTAGCTGGCCAGTTCATAATGAGAAGAAATTTGGCTCATCAATGAATTTAAATTTGGAACCCTCTACTGGTTTAAGCATAAAAATGAATGGATTTCTCTTTCCTTCCTCCTTGGTTTGTACAATCATGCTAATTACATTGGATGGGGTTTAAGATGCTGAGACTTACATATTCAAGGAAGAATTGGCAAGATTAACTGGTAACTTGTGTAATTTTGTGTTCATTTACAAATGTGCTAGCAATGGGATATTAAATAAATTACATAAAATCCATTTTTAAAATCCAATTATTAAAATCACGTTTCAGTAAATTATTGGGAAACATGAAAAAATAAGTTATGCAATGTTATACAGAGTAGGGGCCACATTACTTAAAATTATAAATGCACTTCATCATAAGAGATAAGAATGACAAAGAGGTTATAATACCTTATGTAGAAACTTAAATGTTGGATGTGTTTTAGAATTCTGAATTTCCAGATCTGTTATAAGGGTAACAGTGCTCACACTGGATATGCTGTAACACTCTCCACAGCTCCTGAGGCAGCAACCTTGAACAAACAACTATTTCTAACAAAATAGGACATTCCCACCATGTGGGATAAATAGACCAGCTCCATAGGTGTTCAGGTCAGATTTTGCTGCCAACTGAATTCACTTTAAAGTTGGGGAAAATTTCCAGGGTTTGCAGAGGCTTCTGAGTGTTGCAGTTGTGGATGAGGGGGTTTGGATTATAATATGAAGATTAATAGTCTTCCCTGGCCAATGCAAATAGGGATAAATTTCTTCCCCTAGAGCTTCTGTGTATTTCTCAAATATTCTGCAATAAAATTCTATAATCAGAAAAACATACATTTAAAGACCCTTTTGTTATTTTAGATAATCTTAAGACAGACACATCAAATACTAGATTGAATGTCTCCATTCTTTCAGATTTAGTCTTTTTTACTGAGTAATGATTTCTGTATTTAACAATTCATTGTTATACTAAAATTCTGTTACTACAGATTTCTTCACGTGATGCAATGTGAAGAAAAGCTAAGAATCTCTGCACATGCTGAATTTCCTCATGTAATGAGAGTCTTGGCCAAAAGCTTATGTCTACTTAAAAGGATAAAAGGCTAAAAGGACAGAGACATTCTTTCTTTAAGGTGATGTCCTCATTGGCAATACTGTGTTTGTGTAGATAGTACACATTACCATGCTGTATTGGCTCTTTCCCCCCACCATTAACTTGTTTATGGGTTTATGAGTGGAAAGGAAACAAATTTCCTTTGGGAATGGTACCTCTAAGTGTCTGGAGATTATAAATGTTATATCACAAATTGCTTTATCTAGAAATGCCCACATTTCCATAAAAATCTCTCTATATGTACATGTATAAGATATGCGTGTACATATATATTCTTTTTTTGCTACTTTTAGTTCAACACTGAATCAGTCTAGAGATGCTGAGTGAGTCTTTCAGTAGTCTAATTTATAAGCATGGGACTCATTAACCTTTGATGACCACATTAAACTTTAAAATAAACCTCAGTCCATAAATAAAAAAAAATCATTCTCAGCAGTCTTTTTCTGAACAAGCTGAAATTTTGTAGTAAGGGTAAAAGTTACCATGGATGCATAAAGGGCAATAAGATAATTTTAGAAGACAAGATGGTCATTAAAGAAGATAAATACTATTAAGGAGTAGGACATTCAATTTAGCATATAGTACCAAACTAAAATACAAAGTAAAATTTATTGTATAGATATTCAGGGATCATTGGAACCTAAGTTCATTTCCTGCATTGATGTTCTATCTTGGTTGCTATCAAGAATATTTATTTTTCCATTGCTCTAATTTATGACCAACAATATTTTTCATGTCTTATTTATTAATTATTATCCTGAAATATTATAGGAAGACCTGCATCCCAAGCAAGAATTCACTCTGAGGTGAGTCTGTGTTCTATCAGCATCTTATAAGTTGTTATCTTGAGTTGTGAAACATTTGCAAAAAAAGTAGAAGATAACATCACTTTTCTGAGAAAAATAACAAATAGGTAACTCCTGTCTCTTAAGTTTCCAAACAGATTAAATTGAAGGCGTAATAATTAGAAGTCCTCAAAGAGATGGAGCGTTGCTCTGTCTCTTTTTTTCCATTAACAGTAGAATAGATAGCTGAGATTTTGTGCAATTAGATATTACATATTAAAACAGTATAGTTAATCAGCAAATTGAAATACACATGGTGTGGTCAAAGTTTCATTCACTTAAAGAAATCAAATTATGATTTCAGGTACTATGTGAGTCCAAGTAGAAGACAAAATGACATTCACTATTTCCCATCTTCCTGAGGCTGCACTGCCCTATTCCCCTGAAAGATGTAACTGAGAAACTATGCTACTTCAAACTTATTCATATTATTCATGTGATGTGAAGAAATTTCGAAGAATCTCCTTTTGAGCTGCTCTAATTCCCCATTTAATAAGAGTGTTGGGCACAATTTTGTGTACATTGTGTTAAAGAATCCATACTTAAGAAAAAGCACACTAAAATAGTGGAGGAATAATAACGATGGATTGCTATTTTCCAAGAGAGCAAAGTATCCTGTAGAATTAATAAAAATTAACTTCTAGTAAATTTAACTTGGAGTCACTTATAAAAAATGTGAATTCCAATTATTTCCTGATCTTTTTGCCATTACCTTCTCAATTGCCTCTAAAGGCTACCTCTTGAATCTAGGCAGTTAAAACTGTTAGATTATTAAAATTAAATATCGTACATGTACTTTTGTGAAATTTGCTGTGGAGAACGAAGATGCAAAACCTCAACCACTCTTACTTATTTGAAATAAAATACCTTTACTGTCTGTTTATGGATAAAAATAAACACTAAATATCTTTGTTCTTTAATTTGTAACTTGGGAAAAACTCAATCTCACAGTTTTCTAAAATAGAATCAATATTAATTAAAAACAATAACATGATGATAATTTATAATGTGAAATATAACTAACTCAAAAAATAGATCTACTTTATACCATTATGATTTCCTACACTAACATCAAGGTTAATAAATGCCAGATGGCTTACCTACTTTCATTAAGAATTATTAGTATCAAAACTGCTTAAACTAACAATAATTCATCATCTTAATTGGTTTTCCTGAGAGTTAATGTGAATTATGTAGGAAAAGAATGATACCCTGAGCATCATCATGGCTGAGAGTTAGAAAATTATGCCGATCACCGCAAAAGCAAATTTGACTTTGAACCTCAGTCCAGAGTTGGGCAGCCAATCTAAACTAGTCCAACTAGATCCATTTGATAATTTTTTCTCCCAAGAGTTTGATTGAAAGTTGAGCAGAGACACAGACAAACCAAGGTCACAGAAGTTGGGTCTATCACAGCAACTTCTCAGGAAAGTTATGCAGAATCTGGACCTCCCCCATCCCTTGGCTGTTATTCTACCTTTCCTTTCTTTCAATTTTTATCTTTTTTTTGGCTACTTTTGATTTCTTTTCAGTATACCTCTCTTTCTTTATCTTGCTTTTATCTTTAGAGAGCTGAGATTATTATTTGCTACATGAGAACAGAAAAATAGTAAATGATATGTTAACTTTGTGCTTTAAATTCTTTATTTCAAAAACTGGGCCACTGGTAATAAACATCAATATATTATTTAAAATGTGTTAATATTTGAAAAGACTTACCTAAGTCTATACGTTTATTTGATTTAGTAGTAAACATGACCTCTAGAAAAATGGATGTTCTTCCTTTGTTTAGTCAAGTAAAGAGAATCAATGACAGGATTCTATTATCAGAGGAGTCTCTTTACCTCATCACCTTTCTCTCCCAGTATCCCAGGGTAGCCCCGTTCTCCTTTGCTTCCCTGAAAAGACAATGAACAGAGCTAGTACACTCAATCATTTTGTCATCTTTAGGAATAACAAAAGTATCTGTTCTCACGGCACCAGGAGCATGTAATTTGTACAGGGTCAAGGAACAAATAAATGACATTTGCAAGTGGTTTTATACCATTTCTCTAATTTTTCTTTTTGAAAATACAGTGTAATTTTTTAAAGATTTATTTATTTAAACAAGAACTGGGGTACAGTCAGAGGCACGGGAGGGTGAGAGAATTCACCAGAGACAGAGCGGGGAGCAGAACAGTATTTTAAAATGAGTTTCCTTTTTTTCACAAAGACGTGAGTGGAGGAGAAACTTCCTTACCTTTGGTCCCTCTCTGCCTGGGATTCCTGGAGGACCCCGTGGCCCGATATCACCCTAGAGGACAGAGCAGTAACAGACCTTAAGCACCATGTGTGACTTGCAGGGTCCACTGGCATTCAGTCCTCTTCTTACCTTCCTGGCTACAGAATCATACTTTCCAGGATCACCGGCGCTTCCTTCTTCTCCTTTGTTGCTCTTCAATTCAGGAACACTGGCTTGGCAATTGCCACAGAAGTTCTGATGACCATAAAGAAAAAGTTACTGAGAGAGTCCTCAAAGTAATTTCTGAAAGTGAGGTTTGATTAGCTTAACATTTTTTTTTAAGTGAAGTAACATGGCATCATAATATTGTTTAAGTTTCAGGTGTGCATCATTAAAAAAGAATCAACATGTTTATATTACATGAAGTTCACCACGAAAAGTCAAATTCTATCCTTCACCATCAATTGACCCCTTAAACCTGGTTTACCTACCCTCCCTTCCCCTTCCCCCCACTGGCCACTAATTGGTCTTATAGTCTAAAAGTGTATTTGTTTCATTTAATTCATCCATTTGTTTTCTCTATATTCCATATATGAGTGAAATGATACAGTTTGCCTTTCTCAATTTAACTTATTTCACTAAGTACAACATCCTCTAGGTTCAAGCATGTTCAAATAACAGAATTTCATCTTTTATTTTTTATAGCTGAATAGTATTTTATTGTATAAATATGTTACATTTTCTTGATTACCTTTGAAATTCTATTTGAGTCTTTGTCAGAGATAAGCAATATAGCCACTACTATGTTACTCCATTTTAGAAACTTACTTTAATTAAAATAAGAAAGAATACTTTTGACTAGGTAAAAACTATGAAGCTAGCAATATTTATGATATTGGTGAGCTTCTATTTAAAATCATGTGTAAGATGATATTTAAATTGAAGATCCCAAATAAATAAGGAAAAGATGCATAAATCAAGAACACAGAGTTTCAGTCACTTAGCAGAATATTTTAAAGGGAAAGTCGTAATAAAGTTTGAAATAACCAACAAGAGTACAGAGCTCATTCAATAAAGAAACATTAAATCATTAAAAAAGAAAGAAAAAGCTATGAAAAAAGATGTCTCCTTTTGGGAGCAAAATTAGTTGGAGAATCCCTACACACAGTTTACTAACATTTTATTTGTCAGTGGATGCACTCATGTGTGAAATAATTGCTTCACTGACTTGGACTTGACTTCTATGTCAAATCCAAGTGCAGATAGGAAATCTAAGTGGAATTACTTTTCCGTTCCCTACTCTGTAACCTTTAGCTGATCTGGAAAGGTTTGAATTTAAGTGTCTGAGCTCACAAGATAAACTTCTTATCACATTGCTAAAGGAAAACTGTCTGAAAAGCCCCATAAAGGCTTATTTTTAAATAAATTGTTATAATAAGAATATGATCAGGAAAGGCAGAGAATAGGGACCATTGAGCAGGGGAGAAAGTTTAATTTTAACAGTTGACAGAAGGCAGGACAATACTCTTCCATCCTTTTTACCCAAGGGAAGAATCTATAACCATGAAAAAGGAACTGAAACTCTCTAATGGTGAGAAGTTGGCAAGAAAGCCCAGGGCTATTCAAGTTCAATATTTTGACCCAGTGAATATCAGCATCAATCTGATTGCCAGAAACAGGCTTCTTGGAAGACTAATTTTATATTGTACTGAAGAGTTTCTGAGGCAATTTGTCTAAAAAATGCTGAAGTAGAGTTTTCTTGGTGGTCTTTCTCAGAATTGGAACATATCAAAGGGAACTAGAGTGTGCAATGCCTCCCAAACTAATTTTATCACCAGCATCTTTTTCTAGAGCTAATGTGTTGGTAGAAGAGTTACAAAATACATATAGGGTCTCCCTGGTGGCCTAGGGGTTAAAACTCAGCGCTATCAGTACTAAGGCCAGAGTTTGATCCCCAGCCACGGAGCTAACCGCACATGGCACAGCAGACCTCTCCTGTCTCACCCACTGCTCCCCTCAGCAGTGTATTTCAGTAGATCCACCTGTTCTACTTCCCACTATCTCTGGTGAATCCTTTCACCACCCCCCCCCCACACCTCTGGCCTAACCTCAGTTCTTCTACACAAAAAATAAAAAAAGTAAATAAATACACATATAATTATAGACCCATCAGTTATAGTATCTGAAAAACTATGAAGAGAAAGAGATTCCCTGTGGGTTCAATACCTGAAAAGTTTCCATATTTCAAAAAAGTATAAAGAGGATGAATAATCGTGTCTGTAGCTGTATAAATGTGGCAGATCAATATGGAACAAAACTTGGCATGTCAATACATGACAACAATTTAGAATGGATTATTCCATTGATTGTTTTAATAAAACATAAAAAATGGTAATCATGACTCTGTAGAATTTTCTAAGAGTCATTTATAAGAAAATGACCTCATTTTTTTTAGGTTGGGTAAGCAACCTTGGTAAATTAAGGGAACTGGATTTCATAAAGGTTCTTGAGATAATGGACTTAAGGTTTTATGGAGAGAATAAAGAGGCATCAATAATCAGCCAACATAAATCTCATTCAAAGAGAGATTGATACACAGATTAACCTGTAGGAAGGTATTTGAAGGGATATCATTTGGGTCTGAATTGCATCAGGTTTTTTTCAAAATTTTAATCAAAGATATTTTTGAAAGCAGAAAGCAGGATGATTCAGTTTGCTAAAGACTCAAGACAGAGCGGGAGAATTAATGTGTCGGTAACAAGACCAAGAGCTAATATTACACTAATATCTTGGTCTAATAGAGTCACTGCCCAATCTAAATTCCTGTGTGTAGCTTTTGCTTTAAGGAACTACAGTAGTTCCCTTTCTATTGAAGGCAGTTTGGTGGGACTATCATGTGCAATTGTGTCTGAGTCCTTCTCCTGGGACTCAGAACCTTAGTAAGATGATGCAGGGACTAGAACAACAGTGGAGCACATTCACTAGAGGAATGCTGTCCTGGTGAAATTACCAATTACTTCTACTTCTGAGACCCCTATTAGAGCTGGTTCACAGTCTCTTTGTCTGTGAATAGTCTGTTTTTGTCTGTTCTATTGGGATTCGTTTTTGCTTAAGTGTACAAGTTTTTGATTCTTAGAGAATCCTAAGGAATATGTAACTCTTATAACTCTGTCACTTCTAACATTACAGCCCATGGAAAGAATCTAAGAGTTATTATCTGAAGACCTGTGTCAATGTTATACTTTTTTGCTGTGATGACTGAGCCAGTTATTTAACTACTTGAACTTCAGTCCCTTGTCTATAGAATAGAAATACTATCACCCACAGCCTTGACTCACAGAATTATTGTGACGATTAAATGAGTTGCTGTAAGCAAAGCTGTGTGTGGCCTCGTATGTACTTGCAACTCAGTAAATATAAGATTCCCCTGAAACCCCTTATAAATATGCTCCTCTGATTTATGTTGGCTTATTAAAAACCCTTCTAACATTTTTATATTTAAATTCAGATTTACATATCTACCTGTTCTTAATACTTTAATCACCTATCAAATACATATACTAGAGTTCTCAATTTTTTTAAATTCAACTCAATAAATATTCTTGCCTCCTAACTACTATTATGCAAATCCTTGAGCAAACTGTTGGGCTAAATGCTAGGAATATAAAAGAAAGCACATACAGACGCACATTGTTTATGTGTGTGTGCACACGTGTGTATGTATACACACATATACACATATATACTCTCCATTCATACACTGATGGAGAAAGCACAGAAAGTTTGAGTATAAAATGAAAGGACAGATTTTTTTTTTTAAATCTGGGCTCACTTAATCTCAGAAAACCTTGAAGAAACACGCAAATACATAACCTTACAGAGGTCCCAGTATTATCCTCCCCCATCTGTTTTACAAATTAAATATAGGGAAGGAACAGAGGGAAAAAATAAGTAGCTATGTTAATTCCCTCTTGATGAATAATAGGTAGAGAAAATTCTTATTTAACAGAGTAACAGGTGTTAGGCCAATTGTCAGCTTTGGAATTTTACAGCTCACTTTGTAAAATCCTATGACATCAAAACTCAGACTTGCAAGCTAGCTGTTTATTGAGCAGCACTGGCTGGTTTTCTTCCTGGGATTGGCCAGGGTAGATTCAGTGAGAAGGATAAGGTTTCACAGTGGAGAGCCAGGGTGGGCAAACACCCATAATGAGAGAACTGTTCCTCTAGAAGAGAAAATGATAGACTCAAGGGCATCAACAACATTATTTCTTCCCTATAGCTCATCTCAGAATTGCCATTCCTTGACTCGTATCCTTCACACACACATGAGAGGAAGATAAAGAAGAGAGTGGAGGGATTACTATAAATGGCATAACATTTACAAAGAAATATGTTCCATTTTCTACTTAAAGAGGCTCTGCCATTTAAAAACTGAATTTTAGTTCAAGATATGCAATTAACTCAATTTCTGAGAAAGATTTTCTGTTTATTTTTTCCTGGAAATTAACACAGAATTTTTTGCATAGCAACAGAGTACCTTGAGCAAGACACCGATGTCACCCAAGAGAGGAAGTGCAATCTGTGGTTAGGGAGAAAAAAAAATACTTTCATTTACTTCTGTATGTATATGCACACAATGAAACACAAACATACAATACAATGTAGATATTTTTCCTTAAATGCCAGACTGGCTGAAATTTGTTATGGGTTCTCTAAGAGCTTCACTGTCAGGCTTAACACTCTGTTACATGTGAAGAAATGAATATTTTTGAGAAATATTTACTATTCCTTTACCATGTACATGCAAATATGTGTATGTCATTGTTTGGAATCTATAGCTCTTTTATATTTTCATGACATGGCAACTTTAATGCCAATCTGAACATGTTATTGGCTCTAAATAATAAAAAGGGAAATCACTTTTTAAAAGGAAATCACTCCTCTGCCAAGTAAATTACTAGGCTGATGAGAAACATGAATAGTAGGATGAGTTTGACTTCAAGTTACTTCTCACTGAAGTTCAAAGGCGCCTATAGGCGGCTTGGGTGATGGGCAAGACAAGATACTGACAGAACTCGGCCAGTATTCTGTATTCTGGCCTCATGTTTTAAAATATCCTTTCAGAGGGATACTGTAAAACCAAGAAACATTTTACAAGATCCCAGATGTTGCCCAAATGATTCCCTCAGCGGTGGGATTAAAGTAAGGCCAAAATATGCCTCTGCATGTAGCTTGGAAAGGCACATAAGGCCCAAACAGTGTGGGAGGTAGAAGGATTTGTGAGGCTTAGTACTGAGAGGCCAGATTTGGATTTTATTATACAAATCTCTTAATACAATGCCATGTACCATATGGCCTCTCAAATTATAACCGCTGATTCTGAGGCTATTTAAAGGGATTTTGCTGCTGCTCAGAGTAAGTTTTAACCTAAAATTAAACTTTGGAACACACATTTAGAGCCTAAACTCATTTTTTAAGAGCCTACTCAAGCCAGTTTTTGTAATTTAATTATTTCAGGGTTTTAAAGCCACAGGATCAATGGATATGTTTGTATCATATTGTAAGTAAGCTACCTGTAAACTTTCATTTAGAAAAATGAAATTCATTCAGTCACCAGCATTAGAAAGAATAGAAATTGTGGCTATATATTTTAATTCAATTTTCCATGGGATTGAGACATTATATGCCAAGGCTCAGCCCGGGGCAAAATTGTACAGCTGAATTATACCCTTAGGAAATAAGTATTCATCACACACAAAAAAATGCTGATGCGGTCTGAATTTTTTTCTCTCTAAAAAATAATGGGGATAAACAAAATCACCAAGCAGTCACTGAGCATTCTAATTAGTTTGGACAGCAAAACTTGCTTGGTAGGCTGTTTGACTTCTGGGTGCATTAAAGATACATAAATCAGGCACAGTCTGTCGACATACCGGGTCACCTGGGGGGCCTGGCAGACCTGGATTTCCATCCCTTCCTGGAGCTCCCTGGAAACAGAAGCATCATATTCAAATCTTTGCCCATTTGCACAGGTGCACATTAAAGTGTGTTGTGGGGATAGGCAAAGGTGGTCCTTACATCATTTCCTGGGGTTCCCGGAGTTCCTGGCAACCCAGGGAGACCTCGAGGGCCCTGGGAAATGGGGCAAATAATTACATATGAGGATTTTCAGTAATTTCCTTGAAGCAAGAAAACTGGATTTGCTGTGCCAAAAAACTTGGTTAAGTAGCTCACCTGAAGACCTGGCTCTCCTGCTGGTCCTTGGGAGCCCTAAGTGGAATGAGATTTAGTGATTAGAATTCTGGCAGCAATGTCCATAAATTACTAAAGTGGGAGAAAGGGTTAAATAGTGTAATTTACTTCATGGAACAACAAGACTTGCTACCATGCACACGCTGAGAACTTTGAAAAGTGGGCCAAGACTTTTGGATGGTAGCCAAACACTTAACCAGATGCCTTTGGCTGCAAACATCAATAGGACTTTGCTCAGAAACCTGGTATGTCCCTATCATCATCATCATCTGCCCCTGCACCTCCACATGCACACAAACAATACCTCCAAATTCTATCTGTTCAAAAACTGATGGTCCACGGAGGTGACTAGCACAGGGTTCCTTTCCTTTCTGTTTTCTTCTTAGTGTCACTTCTCTAAAGAAATTGCCAAAATCAGGGCCTCCCCGGTGACGCAGGGGGTTGAGCACAGTGCTGTGAAGCTGTCTGCAGCCTCTGCAGCATGGGTTTGATTCCCAGCTGGCCAGGAAGCTACCCACATGGTGTGGCAGATCTCTCCTGCCTCACCCGCTGCTCCCCTCAGCAGTGTATTTTGTCAGTCTGCCTGTTCTGCTCCCCGCTCTGTCTCTGGTGAATCCTCTCACTCTCCCGTGCCTCTGGCCTGTACCCCATCTATTGTATAAATAAATAAATCTTTAAAAAAAAGAAATTGCCAAAACCAGTGTTCAGTGACAGGACTAAGAAGGAAAACATGAGCCACTTTAGAAAATTGGAATTCAGGTTGCCTAAAAGGTGGTTGGATTACCAGTGAGCCTAACAACCTCAGCTCTATCCACATCACATCACATCACTAGCAAGGGACGTGACCACTGAATGAGGTGTGGGTAAGCCATGCAAGCAAGGAGCTGGTTTCTCAGCAGCGGACTTCAGTAACTGCTCCCAGATGTCTCCTTTCTTGCTTTCAAAAATAAATGTTCATATCATTGTTACAGTGAAAGCTACTTGTTGCTCCCTTTCAATGTACAGTGTCCTTTCATTCCTAAAACATTTTTTTTTTTTTGCTTCAACCTCCTTCACTCCTCCAGTAATTTCCTGATCTACTTTTTCCTTTGTTTAATCTCCCATCATCAATGATTTTTTTATATTCTTGCCCTGTAAATCAAACACCAGTCACACACAACATAAACCCTCTATTTACACTTTCTCTTTACTCTCATGCTAACTTTATTATAAGGTCAATTTCCTACATTGATGCCATTAAGGTAACAATTTGTTTCCATACTTCTCTTGTTCCAAAGTTTTTAAATGTTTTTATAGAAAATAAAGAGTAATCTCATTACTCTTCAGTTAATTAGTGTGTATGTTGTGGTCATTATTCAGGTACTGCTCCTAAACTCTGGCCTTATAGTTAAAACACATTAAAAAACTGCCCATTCTCTGGCCATTGAAAACAGCTTTCATCCTTTCTTCTTTAAGATGTCATTTACAGATTTTTTTATATTACCTCAGTTATACATACTCCATTCATTTTAATTATTGACTTGTTATAGTTAAAACAAATAGCAATAAATAACTACACATTAGCCATTCTTATAATTTGCATCATAATTCAAGCATGCATCTGTACCTTTCAGTATACAGAAGAACTAAAAATGAATATAAATTTGCTTCTAATCCAAAATTAGTGGATGTGTGACCAGTATATGTGAGTAATCAGTGAGCATCCTCTCTGTGTTTAGTGACATAACCTCAGAGCCTATTAATTTGCTCCCTTTGGACAGTATTAACTTGCATTCCTCCCCTGACCTTTTTGATTATTCAAATTTGTCACTGAATTTTGTTTCACAGTAATGGACTCAACAGGGTTTCAAGAAATCAATTGAATTTCACTTACTGTTCGGCCAGGAATTCCTACCCCTGGTGGGCCTGTGTCACCTGGAGAACCATGGACCCCTGGCAGTCCTCTTTCACCCTGTGCAAAGAGATGTTTCTATCAGTGCAAGGCTCATTTTTTTTTCCAATGATATTATGATAATTATTAGTTATTTAAAAATTATCTATAATATTTTTATACCTTTGGTCCACGTGGACCAGATGCTCCAGGATTTCCATCCAATCCCTTAAAGGAAAAAAAGAAAGTAAATATTTTTTCTTTTAAAAAGTTAAGAGCCGCTTAGAAGTCATAACTCAGTTTCATTGTTCTTATCTTACTTGAATCTTTTTCTATAAAAAATAAGAAACTGGAAAAATACAATTTCAATAAGTTATATTGTACATTATGTTAAAATATAAAAGGTGGTTTTACTTAAAATGAAGCATCTGATAATGAAAAGTATTTATTATTAATTACTATAAAAATTTCAAAGGGATGATTTAAAAAAAGGCATGTGAAACAGGTATATTGGTTATTTGTGTTTTCTGGCTTTCTAGTTCTCTATGTCTGGGAATGGCCTGAACCAGAATGGCATATTTTGTAGATGACCGACCCCGCCATGGTCATATTTGTAGAGCTTCTAGAAGGAAATTGCAGGTAGTTCTTCTCTTTTAAGATAGTATACTAGAAAGATTCATGGTTTAAACTAGTATACCTTACTAGGTTCCATAATATCCTAAAGAATTCATGTAGATGAATTCTAGAAGCCTAAATTTTTCAAAACTACATGTAAAATGGCATGTGTATGTGAATTTTCTTCAGAAAAGAGAACTCTGTTGCACAAAATTTCCAAAGAGTTTAGATCTCTGATTTAAGGAATACCTGAATATTCTTTTTCTGCATACCAAAGTTGTTTTCTATACTTATGATCTATGACTAGGAATACACAAATCATAAGTAATGAATTTTCAAGAGAAGTGTTAGTAAAAGGACTGGTACTTACTGGTTCCCCTGGCAGGCTTTTCCCTGGAGGACCAGCCTCACCTTTTGGACCTGGAAGTCCAGGAGGGCCTATAATCCCACCTGGCTCCCCCTGAGGAAAACAAGGCAATAGTCTTATTTATTCCATTGCTTAGGTCATGGTAGGAGGTGTGGAAGTTGTAGTTTCCACGTTTGAAATTGTCTAATTCATTTTCTCAATTCATTCATTCATTCATTCATTCACTCATTCAGCAATTTTTATTGAGAAATGAATTCATGCCGGGCACCATTCTGATTATCTCAAATGCATTTAAATTTTGTAGTGAGGTACCTTACAATAAGCTTAGCAGTATTATAAAACATAGGCAAGTGTATAAATATATGCACAAAAGTGCATATCTATTTATTAAGCTCCTTAGATCATCTTTATGCTTTCTTTAAGCAAGTTTTCACTATTAATATACTATTCCCATGTAGACATTATGGAAATAGGTCCTGAAAGATTATGAGACTTAAGTCCATATCAGAGTTGGGAGCTGAGCATGAAAGAGACTTTCTGAGTGCAGAGATTTTCATGTCTAAGTTAGTTCATTTTGTCACCTTGTTTTTCTATGCCAAAACAACAGCTGCCATGATGCCTAACTTCAGGGGACAGCATTCACACTGCTTTTTATGTGATTGTCTCTTCCCTACACAATTCTGTCATTCTTGTTCTATCCTTCCATTTCTCCAAGCTCCTATTGATTACCTGTCTTTTCCGCCTATGTAGCTTTTAAAATATATGAAACAACTAAAATGAAAATGATACCTTTTCTCCTTTAATGCCTTGTTTTCCTGGGATACCATGTTCTCCTGGCAATCCCTAGAAAATTCAGAATAAAATGGAAAGAGCAATTAAAACATCTCTTGTTATAACACAATTTCTATCTGTGGTGGGTCAGGATTTTAATATATGCACTGTTTGGAGAAGGGTTGATTTTGGCTTGTTAGGGAAAACCATTAGTAAAAATGTGGCTTGTTGCTTCAAGAGAAGTCAATCAGATGCCATGGCAAAGAAATTAAATCAAGCAGAATTGAACCAAATGCCTCATCCATACTATTGCCAAGAAGGGGTGGAAGGATAGTAGTCGGTAACATCACATTATGATTCAGAAGGATAATGAGGTAAATAGGAAAATCTGGTTTTACTATACTTTGGCAACTGTGGCTCTTTCCTTTTTTGATTTTAGTCTCTGTTTTTTAGCTCCAGCCACTCTCCCTTAAGCTCACTTCTTGGGCATCTTGTGGCTCCACTGGCACCAATAGCATTTTCTCCCTGATAGTAAGATTTCTCCCTGACATATACCTGCTGCATGCACTAAGTGCCAAGCAAAAAATTTCGTTCTGGGAACTGAAGGTTTGAAGCACCAAGCCGACTGAGTGAGCTGAAAGACAGGCCTCTGCAGGTTCAGTGATGGAGCATAAAGAATAAAGGAAGAGATCATGGGGTTGCTCCCTAGGTAATGAGAAAAGGAGAGACTTTAGCAGTTGTAGAGAAGGAACATGGATGGTGGCCAGAGATCAGTCTCTCCAAGAAGTTAGAGGAAAACATTTTTTTTCCATTTTGTTCGAATGGGACTGACGGTGAATCTTGACTCCCAAGTTGTCAGAAAGCTAGCGAGATTGTCCAAGAGACAAAAAAAGATGGATGCAGGGTTGTGTGTGTGTATATAGTGAGTCCACTAAAGCTAGATTATAATGCAACCCAAAGACTTTTCTTGGCTGCATTTTAAAATAGTTTCAGCCAAGAGACTTGTTCTTTTTGGAGGATCTTTCAAGAAAACAACAGCAGAAGCTTTGGAAGTTGTTTTTGTTTTTGGATGGTGAAATGAACAGAAGCCATGCACAATGGAAATACTTCTTATCTTGGTTTTCCTTATTTCTTTTGATGTTTCCAATCCCTTCGACTATTGGTACAGTGCTGACCAGAATGTCCAGCATAATAATTTAATTAACTTGAGTTCCAAAGACTGATTAATTAGCCTTACGAATTCAAAAGAACCTCCCATGAATATATGAAGACATTAGCATTCCCAGTAGCCCCTGATATTAGATGTGATCAGTTTTAGTGATGGCCCGTGTCTTTGGAATGTGGTATCACACAGTCACATGAATTGATGTTGACATTCTTTAAAACATGGCTCAGTTTCCATTTAATTTACAAATATCAAAGACATAGGTATCTACTATACATACAATATCTCCTGGTGGTCCTCTGGGTCCCATAGTTCCTGCAGGTCCTTGCTGACCCTAAAACAGAAGGTGATAGGTACTTTAACTTTGCTAAGAATATTAGATAGTACCTGAATATCTATAAAACTTGGTGTGATCTTTATCTATAGAAAGACTGACTTTCCTTCATCCTACCTTCTCTGTGTATTAGTGAAATGTGCTTTGGGTTTACAAAGATAGTTTAGAGATGTTGCCATTTAAGTGGTCCTGTTCTTACCAGTAGGTGAGGCCTGGATAACATGCCTTACTCATTGGTGGGAACATTTGACATTGTCTCTCCCACACCTCCCACCAGCTTGTCTTTCTTGGGACACCTGAGAAATCCCACCAGGGGAGCACAAGCATCTCAGGGACACATAAATTTGGCTTAGAAATTGAGTCTTAAATCTTGTTCACTCTAAGAATATAGCTCAGTCACAGATTTAGCTCTCATTATTTATTCTTAAAGCTTTGAGGGACACTACTGTGAATATGCCCTGAAAAAGAGTTGAAAAATCTTATTGCAAACCAAAAGGTACTGTTACTGTGTGTGTAGTACTAATGCAGCCAATTGGAGATGGGGGTTGGGAGAATCACCATGGAAGAATGATAAAGTCTCTGAGGCCATCTGTGAAGAAAATAAGTGGCATGCCACAGTAACTGTGTTACATAAAAAAGGCTATAACTTCATTTTCCCCTAATTTATCTCAGAAAATTTTTATATACCTTTAGTCCTGGGCTTCCTATTACACCGGGGGGACCAGGATCTCCAGGTTCACCCTATATATATAGGTGGAATGAAAAGTGAAATAGTGATTTGACTTTTCACAATCTCAATTAGGTTTGAAGATGCAATCAAAAGACATGATGAGATTACCTTTATCCCCTGTGATCCTATTATCCCAGGTTCTCCCTGTAAGTAAAATATTTAACATATATGTAATCCTTAAATTCAGAGATGAGCTTCTCTAGTGCTTGCATACATTTGAATTCCCACTAATTAACATACAATAAAGGAAATTATGGAAGATATGACAAGCAGGGTTCATTATAAAACATGATTTAAAATATTTTTGCTAGGAAGTAAAAATAATTCATTTTCTTTCTTTAATAATGTTTTTTTCCCAAAAGTTATTTTGACCCTGTAATCATGTTCCAGTAGTAATCACTGAATTTTATTACTTTGCTGACATTGTTAAAATTTCAGAGGAGAAGGGGAAAAAAAGTAGAATTTGAGTTGATATGTTATGGTGATTCTATAATCAGGTATATATATTTAATGAAAAACAAACAAAAAATTAAGGTCATACAAAAAAACCTTAACAGTTATAATGAGTTGACTCTTCTATTTTCCATGACTTATTAATTATTTATGCTTTTAATAAAATCATCCTATTTGATAAATTCAATTTGCATCATTAGCACAATTTTTGAAAGAAACTATACCTTGTATTTTCATTTTGTATTTCAGATATCCTAAGTGGATCTTTCATAACATTCATATCCAGTCACTAATAGTAATGGGTTATGGAGAATATATGCTTCCCAGACTGAATGTAAAAGCATCACATGATAAAACTTAACAAGGTTTAAAATTTCTCATTGATCAAAATAAAAGAGTCAAATTCACAGGGGAAAAAGTAAAATGCTCAGAGAGCTGATTTTATCAAATCTATTAGACTCCAAAGTAAACATACTAGAAATCAGCGAGAAGGAAATCAATGAAGTAGAAAACCCCAGATAACGATAAAACATCTACTTACTCGATCTCCCTTTTCACCTTTTGTAAAAGGTTCCCCCTAGGAAAAATGGTAGAAAACAGAATCAATTCTAAATACTTTTGGAGATAAACTTTCCAAAACTGGATGTGAATAAATTCTGCAGGCCAAATTCAGACTTGCATTGAAAGCAAACCTCTAAAATGATTCAGAATGTACAGAGTTTGCCTGTGCAGCTTACGGGAAGCACATGAGAAATACTTTAAAAACTATTTCATATTCCCAAACGAACAATACAGTAATCATTCTCATATTTTGAGAATCCTGAGCCATTGAGAAATTGGAATGTTGTCCATGGCCTAAGCTTCCTCTTGCAAGGGCCATACAGAGGCAGCCATAGCAGAATGGATGATGAGTGATGAACAGGAGGACATTCATTTGAATTCTGCCCATTAAGTTAGTGCTTGAAAATACAAAGTCATTATTTGCGATACTTTACTAAATCACTATTATTTTAAATGCTAATTTAAAATGCCATAAAGGGGTTAATTCTTGGATGAATAACAAGTACATGTCCATGAAACTGGTGGTGGTTCTGGTTGGATGTATGTATGAAGGTCTTAGAGAGAGATGTAAGCTTTGAGGGGGTACCTCTTGTTAAACAACTCTCTTTCCATGGTCACTGTATACTAACAACCCAATCTCAGCCTTGAGCTAACTCTTGTTAGTTTCTGTTCTAGAAGTTACAGCCACATGATCTCACTGAATCTTTGTAACAGTGCTGTGAGGAAGATACTGTCTCACTTCAAGCTTGAGGAAAGAGACTCAGAAGGGTTGTGAGTAACTCTATATTATTTCCTGTAAAATAATATTCACCCACTTTATGTCCCCTTGTTAATCTAGGCTGTAAACTCTGTGTTGCAGGGATATACTCCATCTTGTCTATCATAGCATTTCTGCTCTACACTGTTGGTGCCTATTGAAAATTTTTAAATTAAAAAATTTAAAGTCACACAGATAAAATAATAATAGCTAGTACTTGCTGAACTCTTACAGTATAATAAAGCACTGTTCTAATCCTCTTATACATATTAACTAGTTAATCCTCATGTGTCAACAGGGGATAATAGTATATCCATTTACAGATGAGGAAACTGAGACACATAAATTTCCCCAGGCCAAATAGCCAATAGAGACTGTTTAGGATTGAAACCCAGGCAGCCTGAGTTGAGATTCCACCTTTCCTTGCTCAGTCTATTTGATGTGATTTGTAATTGAATGGATTGACAATAAGATGAAAACCATACATTAAAAAATATTTTCTTTTGTTTATGAAAGTCAAGAGAAAGTTTGAAATCATTCTGGTGGGTAGAACTGCTCTCAATGGACCTCTTAGGGACTGCTATTCTCTTAAATCAGTCATGGGGATAAATGGCTACTAAATAAACCTCTGTGCTTTTTCACCTCAAGTTTTGCATGGTAGGGACAATGGGGGTCACCTTCGGCCCAGTTTTCCCAGTTCTTTGCAGTTATGGGGACCATGTAGCTAGTTCTGGCAATGAAATGTTAGCAGAAGTGACATGTGTCACTTGCAGGCTAACACAATAAGCCCATTCACAATTCTCCCTCCCACTTTCCCTGCAGTGATGATAGAGAAAGTTGTGTACAGCAGATGGCACAGCTCCACGGTGGTAATCAGCCTGGTATCTGAATGTAATACAGAGGAGAACACCCACTTTCTCCAACTAAATCTTGCTGGGCATGCATGCATGAGCAAAAAGCAAGAGTCAATCTTTTTTTTTTTTTTTTTTTTTTTGCAAAGTCACAGAAATTTCAGGGTTAATTTGTTACTTAGCTCAACAAAGCTTACCCTGATTAATATGCCCAACATTTTCTTTCTAACATGATTACATCTTATTACATTTATACATTAGGTCAGGTCTTTATTTTATTCTTACTATTTCATTGTAATTCTAAAAAATCAATTTGATTTTAAGACAGGAGAGGATATTAACTAAAATGAGCAATGAGTCACATTGTCTATACAATGGCTGTTTCTGCTTTTATCACCCTGCTTATGTCATTGCTTATTTAGAAACTGTGTAAAGCCTCACTGTCTAAAGTAATGGGTAGAAAAAGGAAAACATGAGCCTGGTTGTCCAGAGACTTCATATTTAGTCCTAGCTCCAATAGTTACTCCCTGGGTCATCACATTGTAGAATATCTTTTTTTTTATACAAGATCCGGGGTACAGGCCAGATGCGAGCGACGGTGAGAGGATTCACCAGAGACAGAGTGGAGAACAGAACAGGCAGACTGATGAAATACACTGCTGAGGGGAGCAGCAGGCGAGACAGGAGAGGTCTGTTTCGCCATGTGGGATTCTCGCCGGCATCGAACCTGCGCTGCAGAGGCTGCGAACAGCTTCACAGTGTGGTGCTCAACTGCCTGGGCCACCAGGGAGGCCCACATTGTAGAATATCTTTCCCTATCTATAAGACGGTCTCCTTGGAATATTTCAGTTCTGATAAGTTCCACACCCCAACATATTCTAAATGTTCTGTGTGGAGGCCAAACTACCATTTGAACATTATCATTCAGGTTCAGAATTCAAATTTGGATGAAGACTGTTTTGTTTTGACCTTCTGGTTATTATGCAAAGTTAAATCTAGACCTTGTTCTGGAATAGAAAGGCAGGGGATAAGAGCTACATTGTTCCATACAATAAAGTAAAAAGTGTGTGTGTGTGTCTGTGTTTGTTTTACGTGGGGGGTAAGGAGGAAGGAGGCAAAGGGAGTGGAAAACTAAGGGATTAAGAGGGAACTGGAAAGAAGAAGAGTTAAAGGAAAAGAAGTTTGTTTCTCCTGGGTAAGGCTGAGAGGGCTAAAGGTAGTTTCAACTGGGGTAGTGGGGTAGATGGGCTGTCTCTTTTCACCTGCTTCACCCCAAGCTCAAACACTGGTGGTAGGAGAGAAAGCCAGAGGGAGGCTGCTGGAGCTATGAGATCCTTCGAACCTTGCTACCTAGAGCATATGGTCCATGGTCCAACCCGAAGAGCATCACCTGAGACACTGAGACCTGCAGTCTCTCTGCTAGCACCCCAGACCCTCTGAGTTAGAGTCAGCATTGCAAAATGATCCCCAGGTGATTCAAGTGCACATTTACATTTAAGATACCTGGGTTTACTTCACTGAAAGTTTCTTCTTTTGGCTCTACAAATACCTGCTTTTCCAAAAGAATTTTAGTAAATCTCACTGCCAGGTCTGCCATATGTCACATGGAAATTAAGAGAAGGTGATTGTCAGTGTTCAAGCTTGGAGGAGAGACAGTGGAGACCTAGAGAAGCAGCTAAGATGTGTTAAGAGATGCTGACAAGTGTGGAGCATCCAGAATGGGCTGGCAGGTGGAAGGGACAGCACCACCAGGCTGGAATAGTGGGACACTGGAAATTGTCAGTCATCCATGGAACCCTCAAAGCTGTTCCTTGCGACTAATATGGTAGCACAAGAATTCAAGTACTAGGCAAATATATTAACTCCTGCAAGTTATGTGTTAAGATCTTTAACAGATTCAAGGTGTTGACGAAAAAGCTTGTTTTAGGGAAACTGACTATTAATGAAAAAAACAACCCTGTGGTTGTTGAGCTAAATGGCCTTCCTCAAGTTAGGATGTATGTCTCCTTCCTGAAACCACTTGCTGATTTGCACAGGTTCACCAAATAACTAATATTTCTTTTCACAGATGCTAGGATCTGAGAAACACTGAAGCCCTCTTCTTCCAAACAGTGGATTTGAGTTTGGGCTGCCAATCCCCTCTCAGCATCATCTTGATAATAATAATAATAAAACCTTTCTCTGCTTCAGTTAGTATTTGGTGTTTGGTCCTTCTGTGTGTTGGGTGCGTGAACCACTGGACAGTTGGTTTCACAGTCACGTAGGGAGGTCTGGGCTGGATACTAAGGGCAAGAGCAGCGCCTGAAGGTACAGGAACCTGCAGTAATCTGTAACAGCCCTGATTCTAAAGATACCTGAAAAATTACTGTCATTTCTACAGATGCATAATTTTAAAAGCTGAAGTACAGGGAAAAGTTGCTTTTGTACTATTACATACTTTTATATTATTTCTATTTGGCATGTAGGCATTTCAATGACCTCTCATTCATTGTCCTCTATAAACCAATATCCCTTTTTCACCCTGGCAAGAAAAGGGGTAAAAGTGATTTGAAAAAATTACATTTTTAAAACAAAGATGAAACATTTACTTGGTAAGTCTGATTCTTGAGGGTTGTTGTGGGTTTCTTCTTTCCTTTATTTTTTTAACAACTTTAAAAGAATAGTTGTTTTTTTTTTTTAATAACTTGGATTCATGTAATTTCTTTAGGTAGTCTTACCTGAATATAAATGATACCGTAGGGTTTTTTTTTTTCCTCCACCAGAACTAAGTCTTAAACTGACCTCCATAATACTGAAAATTGGCTGAGAAGTCACATTGATCTTACAGAATTTAAGAAAGAAAAATAATTTCAGAAAGTATACTAAGAGCAGTTGTTTGAGGAGATAGATAAACATTAAATTAGCTCCAGTCTTTAATTATATTGGATTTATTATTTACTTTAGCTAGAACTTTTAATTGTAGTAGGGAAGCTTAGCGCTTTTTAAACACTGGGTTCTTGAGCAAGCCAACCTAGGTGTGAATCATGGTTCCAAAACTTACTAACCTGTGACCTTGGGCAGGTTATGTAACTTCTCTGTGCCTTAGTTTCCTCATCTGAAGAGTGGAGTATTAATTAGCCTATCTCCTGTTTGGTTGTATTTTTTTTTTATTAGATTGAGTAAGCTAATGCATGTATAGGACTTAGCATCTCAGAGAGAACACTTGCTCAAATACTGAATTTATTTTTGTTTGTCACAGCAGCGGCTACTAAGATATGACATTGGGCTGGTTAGGAAACATATTTTTAATATATTGTTTGGATATTCTTCCTCTCCCTTCAAAGCTAAGATACTTACAGATTCTCCTTTTTGTCCTTTAGGGCCAATGGACCCTGGAAATCCTGGTTGCCCAGTTTCACCCTTCCAAGAAAAAGCAGAAGAGAGAGGTTGCATGAGGTTAGATGAGCACTGCTGTGGCTGTCAGAGTCACAGATTCTACGATGCACAGATTCACTTGTGATCCGTCTAACCATGGAGCACATCTATTATGCTCCAAGAGACAATGGAAAGTTCTGAATCAAGTTAGGCAATTTGCATAAAAATGTGTCAGTACTTCACAATGCCTTCAGGTCTTTTAGATCCATAATATTCATTCTGATATTTAAAATCAATGTAAAACGAAAGTTAATTATTTTTCAAGGAAAGAACATCTAGAGGAAAAAAAAAATTATACTTTTGCTCTGTTGTATCAAAGAAAATAATTTTTGGGATCTTAAGGCATCTGATGGTTTTACTGACACAACAATCCAGACTCATTTTATCTCATACACTTCTTTCTTAGATGGGGGTATTGGAGTGGGGGAGATGCATATGAGGAGAAATTAGTCTCTCAGCTGTTTTCAACACTGATAATGCTGCTTAAATGATTGACTTTGGACAAAAGCAGCATTCTTGTCGATGTAGTGACAGCAACAGCTTAGAAATGTCTAAGATTTTCTGGTCAGCATCTTGAAGGGGGATTTATATGTGACAAACAAAGAGTATTCTGAGAAGACAGTTTTAGAACTAATATGTGTGGGAAGGAAATAGTTCACTAATCAGGCATGAGAGGGGTATCAGCATTGTGCTTCTTTCAATTTTGATAAAAATCCTTGAATACCACATAATTGGTAAATTAAATATAGCCATTGCTAGTCAGATAAACCCCCTTCAACCTCAAGGGCATTTTGCAAAAACGATGTTTACCATTCCATTTTTGAAAATGCATCTTCTTTCCTGTTTTGTTAATTTTTATTTCAAAAATACAGAAAATATTAAGTGCATTTTTCAAACCTCCAGGTACCAAGCACCCAAAATGAAAGAAATGAAAAGAATTTGCAGTCAAATAGAAATCTCCTTTATTTCCTTCTCTATTCCTGTCTCAGAGAGAGCCACTCTCATGAATTTAGTACTTAACCCTTTTAGTTCATAGTTTTGTACTTTTACTGCTTACATGGAATCATAAACAATAGATTATTTTGGGTATTTGAACAAATTCTAAATGTAGCTTTATCTTGTACATAGCATTTTTTTTTTTGGTGAGAAAAGTTGCTTTTAATTTCCTTTTCTGTTGGTACATATAGATCTAGGTCATACACAGGACAGCATTTTATCTAGTCTATGTAAACACACTAGCATTTGCCCAAGCTTCATTGATGAGCATTGGGTTGTTTCTAGCTTTGCTCTATTATGAATAGGCTGTAGTGAACACTTCTATATGTCCTCTAGTGTGGATGTGTTTATCTGTTTATTGTGAACCCTCAATCAACAATCCACCAATGTACTTCAAGTACAAATTCATTACAGTCCTAAAAACATTGACTTATTTTTACATTTCTATCCTGATTAATATCTTGTGATTAATTCAGACAAGATGTAGAGGGAACATGTCATATGTCATGGATAGACAAGAATACGTTCTTATTAAACTATTTTATTCTGCAACACAAATCCTTTCTAGAGTCTCTTCTCTAGATCTGAGGAATACATTTTGTAAATTTAATCTTGATTTTATTAGTATAACCATTTATTCCTTCTGGCACCTAAATAGTCAGTGCACCTCAGTCTTATATTTGCCACACTGTAAGAGAAGACTTTTTTTTCTAGGCATAATAAATTCTATCTAAAGTAAGAAAAGGGAGAACTTGGTAGATATATTTAAGGGAACAATTTGCTGTTGGTTTGAAGAGGAAATAACAATTGGCTTTGTATGAGCATAAGGATATACAGAATGACCTTCCTATTAACCATCAGGTAGGTGCTAAAATCCTCAGTTAGGGGTGAAGGAGAAATAGGTCTTGTGGTTGGACTGACCTGCACACACAAAAAAGTAGAAATCAGGGAAAGTGTCTAGAAATTACTACAAAAATCACATGTGCCCAATATCAAATGAGAAGTGAAGAGGAATTTGGAAGAGTGATTATATTCCTCCCTGCTATGCATTGGCACAGATATAAATAGCTCTCCATTGAAATACTGAGGAAGGGTCCAATAGAGGCTTGGTCCACTCTCTGAGTGTTATTTGTGTATGGCAGAGCTTGGAGGAACGCTCAGGGATCAGGTCCTTCATATAAATTCTGTAAGCAAAAGTATTTCATACCTAAATCTTAGACTCATGTGGAATTGTTTTTCACAGTTAAAATGATGTTCAGTGATTTATCACTGTGGATAAGAGTAGAAAGACAAGTGATGAATTTATGTAGCATTAGGAAAGGCTGTCCTTTAATTTGACACTGTTGATACTATTTGAAAAGCCTGGTGCTGTTGAGACTCCATTTTTTTCTCTCTGACATCCTGCCTGGAAAGACAACTGTTACTTTCTCAGGAGTCCTTAGAAATTCTGTCATCTATTCCACTGTCACTATAAAGAAGCAGTTGTTCTCAATCAACTTGCAAATACATTTTCCTTTCCTACAAACTGTCAGTCTCAGGCAAGTTACAGAGCAGAGATAATCACTTCAATACTGGTAGAATGGTCATGAGATGCCATTGCCTCTTACTGTCTTTTATCATTAATAAGCTTATAGTGTGCCTTAGTGTTTTCCCCTATATTTAAGTGTTATTGATGTAGGATTGGATTGCTAATGCAGGAGTGATTTGTACATAGATTTACGCCTTTTTTATTTGTTTTGGGGCCTTATGGTAGTGTTGGGTTCCAAATGGGACAGATTCTGTGATTCTCTTTTGCTAGTGCATTAAAAAGTGTTATATTATGATACATGATAAGTCATTTATGTGCTTAAATTGTACTACTGGTTAAACCTCTTATTTTGCAACATAGACTGATTCCCTTCTGTCAAAATTATGGCGGGATAGGCAAAGATGAGCAAGACCAGATGTTAAGGGGGTAACAAGTAACTATTAATACTAAAAAGAGATCAAGGAGAAGAAAGGGGAAGAAAGCTTGGGTGGATGAATGGAAAGAACAAATCTTCAATGAGGGTTTAATATGTGTCAAATATTGTGTTTTGGGTTCATCTCATTTGATTTAAATCCTCCCTCAACTCACTTGGTAGCTATGATGATGCCCATTTACAAACGTGTAAACTGATTCTTAGAGAACTAGAGCGATGTCCCCAAGGAGACATATGTGTTACTGGCACAATCGACCTTAGTCCCCAAAGTCCATGATCTTTCCACCACTCAGTGGTACGCAATCCTGACTACCTGCTTGAGTCACCTGAAGCATTTTTAAATAACAGTGATATGATCCACCCTACATTAATCAGAGATATGGGCTATCTCAAATCAGTCTCTGGGGATAGGGCACAAGCAATGATATTTTCCAAAAGCTCTCCAGGTGACTCTAGTAGGCAGTTAGTGTTCAGAACCACTGGGGTCCCTCTCAGGCACAAGCAAGATCTGTGGGAACAGCTTGAAGGAGCTTTACATTCCCACTGTGGTGACCCATGAACAACATTATAATTTTAAAAATTAATGTATTGATCAGAACAGATACTAAGTGGATATGCATGGGTGGAGGTGATGTCACTTTTCCAGCAACTGCTATGCCTACATTGTTTAGTTTATTTTATGCATTATTTATTGGCAGTCTTTCTCCTTTTAAGAACTGCAATTCTTAAAATAATTTTGTATGTACATTTATATCAACTACTGCCTCCAGTCCCCTGTAGACTCTTTGAGGTCATTTATTTGGATAGGAGGATGAAACAGTTATGTCACAGGCTTTTTCTAATTCCACTTAAGATTCTGAAGCAATTAAAAAAGATTTTAGCTACAGAAAGGTTCTCAGAGTTTGAAATACACCTGTTTTACAGAATCAAATTTCTCATCACTGGGGTCTTAAGAATTCCTAAGTAACATGTGTTTCCTAATGAACATAGCAAAACAGAAGCCAGCTGTTTTGTTTCAAGAAATGAATCATCATTTAAATACTTTGTGTCACAACACTCTTCTTTGCTCAGCTGTCCTATGTGACAAGCTTTGTGGTTTTCTTTTTCTTTATTTCCCCCTTAGCCTGCAGGTGTCCAGTAGTTATGGCTTAAAATGTAATGTGTTTATGATGGTGGTGTAGGAATTCTGTAAGCTATTCAGTTACAGGAACTAGTGCTAATGTACCAGACACATAAGTGCCTTGTTATTGCTGTGTAATCAATTTTTTGGATGTCTTTTTAAGGATGTCAATATTTTATTTATTTATTGCAGAACATTTCATTTTCAATGGTCAATCTATGAGAAGTTCCTAGTTTCTTGTTGAGCCTAACTTTATGGTATTTCTGGTGATAGATATATCGTCTTTTGAATAGATTTGTTGTACTGATTTATAAGGCATAGATGTTGGATTTTCTTGGATTCATGTTGAAATACCCTGCTCTCAATCAAGAGAATTTTTCCTGGGTGAATGAGTGAAGGTAGCACCCATAGGCCATGTTCCCTCAGCGTATTTTCAAACCCACTCATCTCTGTCTGTAGATTTAAGGTGCACTGTTTTTTTTTTTTTTTTTTCCTGACAATGGCACAATTCACACTGAAGCCCAGGTAACCACAATTTCAGAATCAAACTGGAGTGAAACATCTTTTTGAGTGGGTAAGTGAATCTGTCATCTTCACAGCTAATATAATTAAACCTGTGAGTGATGACAATGAGAATGCAATGGAAATTCATCAACATTTTAATTTTAAAACTGTTGTGAAATAGTTATTTGATTAAATCACCACTATATATTATAAACCCCACCCAAAAAATATCCCCGTCACAGCTTGTGTTTGAGCTCTTAAATAAGACTTGCAAATATTGAACCAGAGCCTGAGGCATTTTGCCAAAGGGGTCTTCAGATTGTTTTCACCACCTACACAGATTCATGAAACATCTAATTATAAACCGAAGCTTATGCCCTAATTTCATTTACCTTGTCACAGCTATTTTCCCTTGATTTTCTACTTGTAGTCAACCGCTACTCAGCACTCTTCACTGAAGCTGCCTCTGTTGTAGGTTCCAACCCTAGGCCTGGTGTTTTGGGGATTGGAGGCTGTGCCCTCTGCAGGTCAGCTGCCACCCCAGGAACAGAAGGCCAGAACCCCATGCTCAGAGGGACTGCCCCAATAAATAAATGCATGAAATGGCTTAAAACCTCTGATGTTTTCATTCACTTGAAAATCTGATTACCTTTTCTCCTTTTAGGCTACCAGCTCCATGTTCACCAATATTTCCCTAGGTAAACAGAAAACGAAACAAAAGTTCATTGATTTTTGATGCATTCTGTCCCCGCTTAAAAATTATAGTCAGTTGTGCTTTCACAGTTGTTTTTTTTTTTTTTTATGGATATAATTTTAATCACTTTTGCTCCTCTCACCTTCTGTTAAATATTCCTGGAAAACTCCCACTTTGGAGACTGTCTTCTCTCCAACTTCTCCCTGGCAGATGATTCTGGAGGAAGATCACACCTCCAGGGGCTACCTGTCACTATTTCAGATTCACCTGGGAGTCTAGTTGGTCCCTCCCTACTGGCTGGCTGCTCTTCCCATTATCAAATCTTCTCTATTGTTTTCAGAACACTAATCTGGACTCCACTTTCTCCGGGAAGATGATCTACCTATTACCCCATTTAAAAAATACAAGTTCTCAGATACTTATCACTAAAATTTCTACCACGAAATCTGTCAACCCACCTGCACGCACACTTTGTTGTCAGTGACTGTCTTAATTGGTGTCTGTTTTCCTTCATCAGTCCTCTGATTCCCAAGACTTGGTCTTAGAAATTTTTTTTATCATCTACTGCCTTTATGTGGAATTGGCCAATTTGTTAAGCTAAATAAAACGTAGATGAAATGGTCCAATTCAAAAATTTCTCTATCTACTTACCCTACCATCTTCAAATAGCATAAAACACATTGTTCTCTGATTATTCCCTTTCATGGACAAAGTTTTTAAAGGCTAATGTTTTTGATGGCCATTGACCATAGGCCTTAAGGTTCTCCTCAATTTGAATAAACTTCAGATGGGTTTATTTTGGACTCCAGGTGCTGACCTCCCTTTCTTAGCATCTTTCAAAAACCTGTAAATTCATTCACAGTTCCTTTGAACTATAAATCTTTTAAAAGTCTCTTTCCAGCTTTATACCCCAAGAGAGTTTTTCTTACAGACAGGGAGCCATTCCTTTGGAATGAAACTATCAAGGAGGATGGGGCCTCTTAATTTCCTAGTCTCTGTAGAAGGTGGGAACCTAATTTCAGTGGGTGTCTTGCTCCTACTGGTAAAAATTTCTCCTATTCCAAATATATGAGACAGTTTACTTTTCCCTTGTGTAAAGTTCTGCTCTCCCACTCACTCAGCACTTAAAAATATTTTACCCCTTTATCTCAGCAGAATTGAGCTTAGGCTGAGTTCTGCCTTCTTTTTCCTATTTCAAGAGCCATGACAGAAGTCTTCCTTGTCTGGTTAGCTTTGTCAGGCAATTTTTGCCTCACACCACTGATTCATCTTCCACTTAGTCCTGAGCTCACAGTGAGCAGACTCTGGCCCTCACCACTCCAGTGATCTGATCTGACACTCCAGTGATGTTTTCAGTGTGTTATCTAATGAATATTCCATTAAGTGACTTCCTGACTGAACTTGTCACTCTTGACTTGTATGATAGCACACTTTCCTGGTTTCTCCCATCTCTCTGACCTCTCATCCTCCTTCGCCTAACCGGTAAAGGAAGGACTCTCTCAGGACTCTTCCAGGTTCCCTTCTCTGTGACCAACATTTCTCCAAACACTCTTATCCACCCCTGTGGCTTACCTATCTTCTATACAAAGACAAACAAATTTATAAACCTAGCGTTCATATTCCATCTGAATTTTGACCCATTTATCTATGATCTTCTACTTTATGTATTCACTTGCAATTCATATACAAGTTCAAAACTGAACTTAAAAAACACAGCACACACATATATTAGAGATAAAGATGAGAAAATTGTATCAGACTGTTAGTATCTGTTAGTCCAGAAGTGGGAGAGTGATAATTAATTTCTTCCTAATGTATCTCTACCATTGGACTTAAAATGAGTAGTAATTTCATTTTATAATTAAAAAAATTAAGGAAAAAAACCAAATCCATCCTTTCCCTCTGATAGAACTCTTCCTCCTCTGCCCTGAGTGTTGTTCTTGAACTGCCCTTCTACTTATGCCCCAATACAAAATCTCTGTTCTTCCTGTTAACTGCCTTCACTCTGGGCAAGCCACATAATGCCTTCCCAGAATCATTGCAGTAGCTCCCCAGCATTGTGGGAGGCCTTTAAATCTACTCTTGTTCTACATTTACACACCACCCTCTGCACAAGATCCAAGAGGTATCTTTAAAGATATAACAGGATCATAACAGGATCGTATTTCCCTATTTAGCATCATCTTGACCACTCCTCTCCCTCAGAATTTCCAGGGATAATCGCTCAAGATCTTTCTCCTTTCACCTTCTAGATCACCTCTCTGTCCTCAACTCTTGCCTGGCTAGTAATTACTCATCCCTCAGGGTCTCATATTGTGAAATGTTATTCACAAAAACCTTTTGTGGGTCTCCCAGACAGATTTCCCTCTCGTACCTGCTCATTGGACATTGTGTGTTTCCTTCACAAATACCTACATTTTTATTTTTGTGTTTAAAAAATTTTGCACTAGAATGTAGGCTTCATGAACACCTGAGCTTGATTGTCTGATGTGCAGTACTCAACATGTACAAAGCACGCAGTAGATGTTTTGTTTTTCAAGATTTATTTATTTATTTATTTATACAAGCACTGGGTACAGTCAGAAGCGCGGGAGGGTGAGAGAATTCACCAGAGCCAGAGCAGGGAGCAGAACAGGCAGACAAACAGAGGACACTGCTGAGGGGAGCAGCAAGTGGCAGGAGAGGTCTGCGCGCCATGTGGGACCCTCCTCCGGTGGCCAGGGAGCAGCTGGGGATCGAACCGGTGCTGCAGAGGCTGCAGGCAGCTTCGCAACCCAGCGCTCAACTGCTGCACCACCGGGGAGGCCCTCATTAGATGTTTTAGAATAAATAAGCCAATGATTAGAATTTATGCTTTTTTTTCAATTAAAAATACACATCAGTAGAAAAAAATCACATAAAGTTTTAACAAGAATACCCCTTCAGATCATTTGGTTTGCTGTGGTTTGACATTTTAAATGTGCCCTTAATATTACTCATGCTACTCCAATTAAAAATAACTGCTGTGGGCCTCCCCGATGGTGCAGCAGGTTGAGCGCAGTGCTGTGAAGCTGTCCGCAGCCTCTGTGTGCGGATTTGATTCCCGGCTGGCCAGAAACCCACATGGTGTGGCAAACCTCTGCTGCCGCACCCGCTGCTCCCCTCAGCAGTGTATTTCAGTCAGTTTGCCTGTTCTGTTCTGTTCCCTGCTCTGTCTCTGGTGAATCCTCTCTCCCTCCAGTGCCTCTGGCCTGTACCCTGGTTCATGTTTAAAAATAAATAAATGTTTAAAAAATAATAAAAAAATAACTGCTGTTATTATTGGTCTTGTGACAGATATTCTTTCATTTTTTCTACTTTTATCTGAGATGTTTAGTAAATTGGAAATGAAAAATGTATTCTCAAAATCCTGAGTTGTGAATTGTTACAAAGACATAGTTGAAAACAAAGTACCAAATTTTAAGACATATGCACACATACACCAAGAATAAGCATTTATAAAATAGTAGGTTTCTCCGATGCAACTTGCGTAGAAACATAAATTTTAGGCATTTCCTGAAAATACTAGTCATTTGGGCTTGGTGCCAATCAGTGTGCACAACCCCTACCTTTGGCTATGCCAGGATGCTCTGAGGGAAGCTGGAACATGCTTTTGTCTAAGATATGAGTTGCCCAGAAATGGCGTTAAGAGTGGGAGGTCTATGCTCTTGGATCGCAGAGCACAGCAGCACCCAAAGTGCATCTGATGAGAGAACAGTCCAATAGAGCATCTTGATTTCCATCCCATTTCCCATCTTACCCTTCAACAATCTAAGATGCAGGATTGGCCTTCCCAGGAATATTCAGATAGGGTTTTTTCTAAGACATCCAAACAGGTTTTTCCCAATCCACGTTACCATAATAAAAAGGTCAGTAGGTGCCCTGTGGGCATCGGGAGAAATTATTCCTACTACTTTAAAGAATGAAGACTATCCAAACTTAGGGTTATCCCTTAAGGGAGGGCAAACATCTAGAACATCTGGTATATGAAGTCACCCCGTCCTCTTCATGGAGCCCCCTTCTGTCTCCTTGACTGTCCAGGACCTTATTCCATTTCCTAATTCCAGATATAAACCCTTGATCTGTCACATTTACTTTGGGATTTATGGCCATGCAAATTCTCCATGCATACATAATTAAATTTTGTGTTTAATCCATCTAATGTTATTTATTTTGCTAGTTCAGTCTGAGAAGAACTGGGAATGTTCCCCTGAGCCCTGATAAGAACACCAGAGATATTAGGATGAAAAAAAGAAATGCCTCTGCAGCACCAACTCATATTATTCTGTTCATATGCTCTATTGTTCTAAAATTTGGATTTTCTGATGGATCTGACACCCAGAAAAACAACAGGGTCATTTACTGCTTAGCAGAGCACCATATACTTGCTTCATTAAGTAGCTAGGCCAGGAAATACATCTTACCAAGGACCCTCAGTGACTTTCAGAGCTGTTCTCCACTTTCAGGTTAACAGTATTCAAGGCAGATTCAAACTTGTTACTTCAGTAGATTTATTCCTTGACATATGAGATTATCCTCTTTGCATTCTCCAAGCTAACCGCAACAACTACTTGGCTCTACAGAAATCATAAGAGACATGCATCTTGTGTTTCTGGAATATGTGGCTGCCTCAGATACTAACTATTCTAATTTTACTAGGTCATTTTGAAACTTGGTGTCATGTTATTTGAAAGGGTTCTTGTAAACCCTTTGAATAAATATAATAGTCATACAGTTTTGAATGTGTTTATTTAAAAATTCTCATGGTGAAGTGGTGAGGGTAGAGGTTTGTGGTGGGGGGGTGCTAATGTGCCCACCCATTTTAAAAATTCTGGGATGTTGGAACATGTTGATTGTTCTCTTGTGGGAAACTGTGAATGGAACTTTGGAACCTCTAGTCAGGAAAGTGGGGAGCTTGAAGCTATTCTCATTGTGCTGGAGAGGTCCTTCTCTGGAAAGAAGGGAATGCACTTAGACACACATCACTTGAACCACAGGGAGATGACCATTTCTCTAGACTCCAAAGACAAAGGCTCAAATATCAGCCGTTTCCTATGATTCAGCTTAGTAAAAAAAGACCAGGACATGGGGTCATTAAAAATTCCCCCAGTTTGGGGGACTTGCTGTAAAATCCTAAGCATGAGGGGAACAAAGTTAAAAAAAATTCAACCCAGGTTATCTATTATGGGTTGAATGTGTCTTTCCCAAATTCATGTGTTGAAATCACAATTCCCAATACTTCAGGAGTACTTCTTATTTAGAAATAAGGTCTTTGCGAAGGTAATTAGTTTAGATGATGTCATACTGGACTAGGGTGGATCCTTAATATAACATGTATGTGCCCTTATAAGAATGAAATTTGGACAGAGATATGCACACAGGAAGAATGTCATGTGCTGATGAGAGATAAGCTGCCACAAGCTAAGCAGCAGAAGCTGGGAGGAGGTCTGGAGAGAGGGGGACCAAACACCTTCATGTTGGATTCCAGCCTCAGAACCTGGTGGCAACAAATGTGTGATGTTTAAGTCACTTAGTGTGTGGCCCTCCATTCTAGCAATCCGAGGAAGTTAAAGTAGAATATGTGGCCTAAGAGCGCTTACTTGGAAATAACACCTAAGGCTTATTTTTACCCTCTTAGCTACTTGCAGGAAACCATTTCATAAGCTCCAAGTATGTGGACTACAAAGAAAAAGAGACAAACCAAATGAAGCTCAGGGTTCTCTGTTAAGGCAGTATTCAAAAATCCATATGCCTCTGCTTAAATCCATGATGCTCCCCAAAGGTACTGGGGCCTGGGTCACAGAAAGTGAAAGTTTAGAATTTAGGACTTTATTTCTGAATCTTCTGGGCCCAGAAAGGTTATTCTTGTGTTCCTAAGGAAGCCTTTGCTTTCTGTGCCATTGCCAGGCTTAACTTTTTGCTTGGAAAGGCCTTAAATATTTGATTTTGGAGAAAGGTTTTCTGTCCTTCCTAGTCTGTGGATATTAAAATGATGTTATGATTTGATACTTGAAAGGAAAAATAGATTATTTTGCTAGCAAATTGGTTTTTTTGGATCAACAATTTGGAGAAGTGAACACTAGAATTGGTTGCTGGGAGGCACAGCATCAATCTCCAACAGCTGAGACTGATTCTCTGCAAATTTGCACCGAGTGTGGTGATGTAAGATAACACAACTATGCATTTTCAATGTGGTTCTTTAAAAACAATATCAAATGTAAAATCCGCCAGTACTTGGCCTTCACAGATAACACTTTGCCTCCCCATCTAGAGTGTTGTAAGAGACTCTGGATCTGATGGTTTTAGCAGTTGACAGACCCTATCAAATTTTTATTAAAATCCCCAGAGCTGAAGACAATGAAGAGCTGTTTGCTGGATCATGAGCAGATTTTCCTTAAGGGGAAGAAAATGCTCGGCATTGTTGCTTCTTTGCAAACAATCTTGCAGAATGGGAGCAGCTGTTTTGCAAATTGTTTTTGTGATGGAGAGGGAAATGGTCTACCTTTTATTCTTTGCAATCTCAAGTGGGCATACAAAAATACAAACATACTGACCTTAGTCCTTAGAGTCTCTCTATCCCTTACTTCCTTCCCTCCCCCAAACCCACATTCCGTTTTTGATTTGTGCTGTGAGGGAAGGGGGCTTCTTATGTCTGAGCTTCTCCCTCTGTATGAATAAGGAAAATTGTAGGGGAAAAAAAAATCAATGCTTATACAGGGTCAAAGGGCAATTCTTTGAAAATTCCTGGAGCAAGAGCATGAACCATGGTTCTTTTAGTTTAGAACAACAGGGAGGGGCAGTGCATGAGCAGCCTGTAGTGGTCTTCCCTTTGGGTAGTTGCTTCAGTAATGGCTGTATGACTGCAGGAGCAACAGTGAGCCAAGGCACTTAGGTCCAGGACTGGAGTGCGGACAGGGCATAAATCAGCGCCAATTTAACCTTGGAATGTCACTTATTGTATCTCATTATTTAATCTCCAGGAAAATTTCACTCAACAAACCCCCTTCCCATCCCCCATTCATTTGCAGACCATCAGGCATGCAATGAATTGCAAAATGAAACCACAGCAGCATCCAAAAACAGATAGGAGTTGGTGGGGGGGTGAGTGGGGAAAGAGGGCCATGTGAAACATGCATTGCTCATCATGGCACGTTGGTTCTTTCTTTTATGATGCTCAGGGTGAGGAGGAAGTGGTCACAATCTAGAAACACTGGTCAGAGTAGGCACAGGGAGCTGGGCCCTATCTCCCTCCATCAATTCTGGGAGGACCTCAAGTTAGCAGATGAACAGTAAAATGTTTGGGGAGTAACTTTCATAAATTCCCACTGGGTCTAAAGGCTGCTGATGCTAAGTGGTTAGAAAGCATCATTTTGGGAGAAAAGCTAAGCTCTCTTCCCTTTACCTGTTATGCTCCAGCTCCAAAGTCACATTTTGAAAACATGTGAACTAAATCCTGTAATGATGGTCATGAGAGCTGGAGTTCTTGTAGGTGAGTCCATAGCTAAGTTTGCTATTGGCAAGACTCTCTACTCTCTCTCTCAGGTTAAGCACCATTATTTTGAAACACAGCCTTAAAGTTCACAAATTTACACCGTCAACTTTAAAGTCAAAATATGAATGCTCTATATATCTTCATTTAAGGAAAAACTAACTCATCGACGAGATAAAGTATATATAGAAGTAGTGTTGAGAGAGCTGTAAAGATATGAGCTTTAAAAGTTTTGCAAGGGATAGCAAATATTTTAAGTAGCTGAGTAGCAACTTGGTAAATTTTATACCAAGGGTGATGGTAATAGAGTTGTTCTTTATGCTTTTCTAGCTGATGCTGTGACATCAGAGCCAATTCATTCTTATTATTTTGAAGCATTTATGATAAATCCAATTTTGTAACAGAAGATGTCATTACAGAAATGTACTGTGTTTTAATTGATTAATTCTAGATATGCTTTGCTTTCTTTTTTCTTTTTCATTTGTGCCAAGACCTAGTATTTTGAAAAAGCTAAAATAGATCTATTCTAAAAAGGTTTAATAAAGAATCAAAATATGTCCCAAACATTCTTCCTAATATAATTCTCCCTGGAAAATCTAAGTAAATGAGAAACTTTAAGATAGGTGTACTTAGGGAGTGTAACAAACTTTTCATGCCTTTGAGTTTAAATTTATTAAACACAAATTATCTCAGTCTTTATGTGAAAGTTAACCTGATAAAAGAAGAATTAAGATTTTGAATCAATAAGCACATCATTTAATATGCCCTTTTCTGAGCACCTGCTATCTACTCTGTTGGCACCTAGCTTCTCTCTGAGATTTCTAACAGAGGAACAATATGAGTCAGAGGCATTTATAGGAAGGAGCAGCAGGAACACAGAGCAAGGACATAAAGGACAGTGTCTCCAAATTTGTTTGGGGAGCACGCAACCAGTCACCAATGGGGCATCAATGATAAGCTATCACATATATGAGGGACTCCAGTCAGTGGACAGAACGCCTCACACAAAGCGACCAGCCCCCAAGTATGTGTTATTGAGTGATGTGCCCTCAATGGTCATGCAGGTTTCTGAGTCTTCCTTGGTCGCCACCATTCACTCTTGTCTCTCCGTTGTGTTTCCTTAAAGAATAGGGAGCAAACCTGTCTTGCCTCCTCCACTCAATTACTTCCTATTAGTATTCCATTTCTTCCAATTGTAAATAAACCTTGAGGAAGAAAAAAGTGGCTACTCCCAGCCAGAGGGGAAATTTCAGTCTTGACCTATGGTATGTAAACCTGTCTCTAAGATTTTTGTGAAGTGCCCACTGGGGTTGATAAGAAATCTACCACCTATTATGCTTCTCAGAGCTTCAAGGTACCAAGTAGTCTCTTCTGCCCTCAGAAAAAGTAGATATACGACATCATCAAAGATGAAACATGCCTTTTGCTTTAATTTTTTGCAATTTTGCAGATTTCAGAGTAATGTTTTTATCTATAAACATAACATTATGGTTTTATAAATGATGCTAAACATAATACCTTACTTTAAAACAATTTCAATATGAAAAGATGCTAAGTATATGTGATTGTGTTTCTCTGAGAGGTAAGGAATGGATGTTAATTGTTTTTCAAAATTACTGTCACATAAAGCCTCTGTGTGTGTATAATATATAAAAAAGGAAGCCATACCTTGTTATAATAACCACCAAGACTCTGTTGTAGTCCTTGTATTCCTGGAGGTCCCTGTATTGAAACAAATCAAGGATATATATGTAAACATTATCTGAAACAATGTATATTTAAATAAGGTTTCTAAGAACTCTTGAAATATTACCATTTCAAGAAAATGGTAGGGCCTCCCTGGTGGCACAAGGGATTATAACACAATCTATAAAGCTGTCAGCAGCCTCTGCAGCATGAGTTTGATCCCTGGCCAGCCAGGGAGCTACCCACATGGTGCAGCAGACCTCTCCTGACTTGCCTGCTGCTCCCCTCAGCAGTGTGAGTCAGTCTGCCTGTTTTGTTCCCCATTCTGTCTCTGGTGAATCCTCTCACCCCCCACAACTCTGGCCTGTACCCCAGCTCTTGTATGCATAAATAAATCTTTAAAAAAGAAAGAAAAACGAAGAGTCTGTTCAGTGAAATATTCTAAAGACATTAATTTATCAGGTTCATAAAGCTATTTCTATGTAAAATCCTGTATGAACCCAAAGAAACATCCTAAGTGGGAACCTATAACATTTTACCAGAAGATCAGCCATCAGCATACTCTTTATTAAAGGAATTGTGTCCATAAAACTCTTCCAGGGAAAAGTTGTAATTTATGACATTTCCCACAGGACTTTGATCAATGTATTATAGAAATGTGTGCCCCCCCTCGTATTTTATTAACAGAAAATATGGCAACACATATTTTTTTCTATTGCTTTTCTTTTTTGAATTAGTTGGGTGAAAACTGGCTGTCCGTGGACTTTTAGGCCAGGAAAAGATGTCTGCTCAGAAATAAGACTAAATATTTGTAGTTTTCAGTTGACTGGAAATAATCACTAAATACTATGCTTAGCTTTGGGTGGAGAGAAAAACAGTAAAGTGATTCGTCACTGAAACTTCCAAGAAGAGAGGGAGGGAAGAGTTTTCTGAGTTCTTCAGAGATTACATTTTGAGGAGAGGGCCATAAGGAAACACAAGGCTTAGCATTATTTTAAATCAAATAGGTCAAGCCAAGATAGATTCAGCTTCTCAGAAAGAAAGATTGCATATTTCATCTAGACCTTGAAAGCTAGGATGGAAAATATTATAGAGGCAAAGTTCTTACATTTTACCTCAGAAGATAAGACACAGAATGAGACTGAGCAAAGCAAATATCACTATAACACAGAGATTATTTTTGAAAAGAGGAAATGAAAGTTTTGGAAAGTGAAGAAAAATTTTATAGCGCAATTGCTAGCTGTACTCACTGATTGAGGTAATACCTGAAGTACATTGAAAAACTTAATGTTTGTTAACATTTATGGCCAGTATTTCTTATGAACAGCTTGTGACTGAAGATCTTTTCTAATATAAAAGCTTTGCATTGTGGCACTAAAAGTAGAGGACACAAAGATGTGGTGATGGATGCCTGGGAGCAGATTGGAATAACTCTTGAGAAAATAATAGGCCTCACGAGTAATGGAGCCTCTATGATTGGAAAGACAAACGATGCTGTTACCTTCCTCAAATAAAAACAGAGCTAATGTCAGAAAAGAATTCTCATGACATTATATATTTTTCATGTCCTTTTTCCATCAGTAAGCCTTGTGTAAAGTATTCTAGGTCAGTTAGGTGGTAATGTGAGGAAAGCAATCATTGAGTTGGGAGTTGTTGCATAAAGTTTCTAGCCAAGAAGATGCAAGTTAAGAACTCGCTTGAAATTCAAGAGACCTGATGGGCCTCCCCGGTGGCGCAGCGGTTGAGCGCTGGGTTGCGAAGCTGCCCGCGGCCTCTGCGGCGCCGGTTCGATCCCCGGCTGCTCCCCAGCCACCGGAGGAGAATCCCACATGGTGCGCAGACTCTCTCCTGCCACCCGCTGCTCCCCTCAGCAGTGTACTTCAGTCCTTCTGCCTGCTCTGCTCCCCACTCTGGCTCTGGTGAATTCTCTCACCCTCCCGCGCTTCTGACTGTACCCAGTGCATGTATAAACAAAACAAACAAACAAATATAATAAATAAATAAATAAAAACATGCCTCTAAAAAAAAAAAAAAAAAGAGACCTGAAATCCCATTAACACAGATCCTTCTGAAAATATATAGTGAGACAAGGAGAAATTTTAAACACTAGAGCTAGTAGCATCAACAGGTAGCTTACATGTATATGCACAGCAGGCAATTGGTGAATGGTGAATATGTATTAATAATAATGCCGTGTAGATCAAAGGATAGTGATGTGATGGAAAAATTTAGCTTCATACACATTCATCCTAGTTAAAAGTGAGAGTCTTAATAATTAGTACTCCCAAATATCGCAGAATTATTAATAATACAGTCTCTGAACTAGAGCAGAAGAATCAATCAAATGATCACAGCAAACATTTATATAGTGTTTATTGTGTGTCTGGTCTTATACCAAGGATTTTAACTTACTCCCTTCAAGGACACCTTGAGGTATGTAACATTATTATTTTCCGTTAAAAAAAAATGAAGGTCAGAAACTGTTACCTCGCCCAGCCTCACACTATTCATTAGAGCCTGGGCTAACGTCGAATATGGCAATCTGGGCCTAAGCTCAGATCTCATCTATTCTGTTCCACTTCTTAAATTAAAAGTAGACTCTCAGCCTAAAATGGCTTTTGCAGTCCATTTTTTATCACCCTGACTGTGCCCTAGAGAATGCCAGGTGATCATTCTTCCATGTTTTACTTAGCACACTAAAAATGAAAAAAAAATCACCAAAACTTTTAATTAGCACTTCTTATGAACCAGCACTATGCTTGGTGTAGGAGCTGAGGAAAGCAACACTTTGCCTTTGGATATAGTCCTTATGTATAGCCAAGAGACACGCCTCTCTATTCTTCATCTTCCGTCTATCTTCACATATTCTCGTAATACATGACAGGGAGATGATGCTCGCACATTCCAAATAATTACTCTCAAGTTACAACTGTACTTAAAATGCAGCCTAACTCTGTTTGCAGAAGCTGGAGAGAAGATGGTCCAGAGACATGAGGTGGGAACCTTAAAGGGGCTCTGGAATACAGTGAGGAGAAAGAAGCAGGTGAGCCAGCAGTGTGGTAGGGGTCACCTGGCACACACAGGTAGCAGGCTAAGAATAGTGAAAATGATAGGATAGTGATAAGCTCTTAAAGCTTGGGTGACAGTTGGGTCTGATCTTTCACAGATCACCTACAGAGTATAACTGTATTCTATAAACACAGGACATGTTCCTCGTCTAGAGCTCCTGTCTTGCACTGAGCATATACTGGAAGTAGGGTGGGAGAGCCCAGAGCAAGAGCAAGGCACAGAGAACAGAGCTACAGGCCAACAGAAATGTTTAAGCATTGCTCAGAAACCCACAATATTAATAAACCATAAATGTCATATCCACCAAGCAGTACTCGAAATGGGGTTAATTTTGAAATTTTAGGTTCTACTATTTAATCTGCTGATGAGCATTTATGATGACATTTTCTTTCCTGTTCTTTTAGTCATGGGATACCTTGGATACTGTAAATTTCAAGTTTAATGTAACAGAGATTTATAGTTAACAATCTACCCAGCAGGCAATACTCTACACAAACTCTCCCAGAGGGCTGCAGAAACCCTGCAATGACTGAAAGAAGATACCGGAGTAAAGTGCGTGCCCGGGGAATCTACCTCATGTTGACTGCAGCCAGTAAAGCAAGGACTTAGTGGGTTCTCAAACTTTCAGAAACAAACAATCTCAATCATTGTGGGGCCAGTGACCACAGAGAAGCTCTACACATACAAGTGCCAGAGCAACTCTCTCTTGACTGTTAAACAACAATACATGCCCTGGGGTCTTGAAATTAGTGGCTGTCCTGTAAAGGATGGCTATAGAGCTGGTGGCTCTCCTATAGAGCTGGTGGCTATCCAGCTCTGCCCCAAGAGGTATACTATTTGTCTATTTTCTATTCTGGTACAAAGAATGGCTGGAGAAGATCCAAGGAGTTCTTTGTTTCTACATATTGCAAGAGCTGTCATTCTTGTGGACTATCAATCACCTCTGGGGAAGGGGAAGTTAAAGACATACTAAGTGACAGATTTGGGATACCACGTGGTGTTAGTAGATGTTCCAGGGCACTTGAGAGGTCACTTTTTCTGCAGTTTACATTTATTAGGACTCCTCAAGGAGATGCTTAGACGACCCAAGTCAAGTGGAGAAGAGAGGTCAGCTATGGAGGGCACATCAGCTTTGGCTAATGCTTTCAGGAACTCAGAGAGGAAAAACAGTTGAAGATTTATGGAAAGGAAAAATGACCCCAAATTTTGCTCATAATAGTGGCCCACAACATAGCTAGGTAGACTATATAGTATCTCTCTTTTATGCTGCTCTGCTGTACTTTATTTCACGAGTTGGGAGACATAGGACATCTGCATTAATGTGCTGAGTACACAATTATAGAGCAGCTTTAAAATGCTTATGAACTCCAGGGAGACATACCCATTCAGAAGCCAACTGTACTCAATGGCAATTATCTGTGAGTTCTATAAACCTGGGTAGAGATTCAAATGTTATTTTCTACTGTAAGAACTATACTGGGTGTGAACAAGTGAATTAAAGTACAATTAATTTGGGAGCTATATACTCTCTTAATAGAGGTGGGAAACAGAAATATCATGCTATTTGCCACTAGTGTCATCAGATATATAGTGTACAATGAGGAGCTGTTTGCATTATCATCCTTTAGTAGGTTTCAGCGTCGGTTTCAGATTCTTAAAACTTAAAAGATGAGAAGGATTCTCTGTCAAAAAACCACACTTCCTCAGTCTTGGACGTAGCTGATTCTCCCTCAAGCTAGTGCATGTAGTACACTTAGCTCATAGACCTCTCCTTTTGCCTTCTGTTTTCCTTCCCTGCTCTTTGCTATTAGCATTCTGAGCAAATCAGCATTAAGGTCTTTTTGATCCAGCTTTAGCACATCCCAGATACTCTGAATCAAGAGCTCCCTGGCTCCTCTGTCAACTACCCTGCTCCCTCTCTGGTCCTTTCTCCTTAGTGATTTTCCTTTCTCCCCTTTCTCTAGAAA